ACATATTTATTCAACCCAAACCAGTTGGAGTATCCATATACCCAACAGAGCTCTAAGACACTATGAGGCAATATATAAGTCTAAATGCTATTGCTTTTGGGAAGGGAAGTGCTTTTCAGAACATTAGGTGAAGACAAAAAAAATGCTTTAGAAGAACTGTTGCATCGCAAGTGGATTTGGTTACTGGATATATGTAGAAAATTCTGGCTGAAGGTATCTGTATGTTTCCACTAACCACTCCATCAATTCTTTACAGGGCCTGTGTTACATATATGCTCACAGCTCAAGTTTCAGCCCTAGACACCTTCAATTAAAAGAAGCGGGAGGTTTTTAAGGTCCCTTAAGAGAGTTAATACCAGAGTAAATAATATCTGAGTTATGTTTAATACAGTACAAGAAGAAATCGTTTGATCCTAAAGTGGACAGATTCCTTGGTTATGAAATATGTGAAGTCTAATTCTCTGTGGAACCAAAATAAAATAAAATAAAATAAAACTCAAGCTTTATTAATAGGAAGTTAATGATTTGAGTTAGGCACATTAAAGATACAAAATCAGGTACTTACTTTGCATTGATGTTTCCATGAGTGCCTTGTCGCCTTGGCTTTGCAACGTTACCAGCGTGAAGTACACCCCTTTCCGTTCTATCAGCTCTTCATGTTTCCCTCTTTCCACAGCTCTTCCATGTTCAAACCCAATTATGATGTCAGCAGATTTCACCGTGGACAAGCGATGAGCTATGGAAATTGCAGTGCGCCCAAAACGAGCCTACGGCAAGGAAAGAAAGATTTTTGGAGGCACCACCGTTCATGAAAGTTCAGTCTGTACTTCTGTCATCCCAGAGGATGGAATGAACCTTAATTGACTGATCTCTCTCTACAAGTATGGATGCTCTATACAAATGTCAAAAGATTCCTTAAAGTGACATGGGAACTGATGTGCCATGGAACTCAAGAACTGGTAATAAAAGCAAAATATCCTTAATAAACCTGTGTGGCCTGAATGCTTGGACTGTGTTATTTTATGAACCAACGTCCTAGCATTGATGGAAATTGTTTGTTTGTTTTCATGGCTATGACTGTCATTCTCCAGCGGTGGGATGGGAGGCGTTTCCCCTGAAAGAGCAAATCCAAGATGCGGTACTATCCAGAAGCTTCAATTTGTGCAGAATACAATAGCTAATGTACCCGATGACATTTGCCATCACAACCATGTGGCACCCGTGCTCAACCAGAAGATAGCTACAATAGCTAGAATATAATAGCTATTGTTCAAATTTCCAAGAATTCCAAGAAAGGTGTGAACAACGACATTCATCCCCACATATACTATGTTGAAGAACCTTGTAATATTCAGTGCTAAGGTGGGCACCTTCCTTGGTTGCTGGGGCACAGTTTTTCATATCATTTAAAGTCTCTGTGATCTGAAGAAGGCATGGTGGTGACACCGCACATATTTTAGCCTAGGAAGGAAGATGACACTGCAAAAAAAAAAAAATGACTTTGACAGTACAATCTTTGGAGGTTGGAGGCTACAGAAGCGGTTATTGCCAAATCTTCCTCTACATCTTCGTTGTAAGAAGATAAAGAAATCACATAGTCTTCCCTTGCTAATTTCAACATAATGTTCCTCTTTTTTATTTAAGTTTTTATTGCTTTTTAAAAACAAACATAAACAAACAAACATAAAAACATCAAGCCATCTTCCTTATGTATACATAGTGTGCCGGTTGGTTTACAAATTGTTTTGTGCTTCCATTTCCTAGTCTTCAATTACAATTACATGGCATATAATCTCGTATTTTCAATCAAAAATTAAATACCTTAGTATCATTATTAATCAATCATTTGACTATACCTTTATTCATTCATGTTTTACCAGATAATCATAATTTACTTAGTTTGTTTTATAACAGTTCATATTATCATCCCAAATCTATCCTAAAATCATTTTGTAGATATAATAAGAAAGAAGTTCATCTTTATATATTTATTATTTTCTAAAAGTCTACATAATTCATTACTATATTTTATTGTCTAACCATTGATAGAATAGATCCCAAATTTTATAAAATTGTTTATCCTCTTGTTCTCTAATTTCAAATGTCAATCTACTCATTTCAGCACATTCCAATATTTTCTTAATGATTTCCTCCTGTGATGGTGTTTTCTCATTTTTCCAGTTTTTGGCAAATACAATCCTAGCCACTGTTAATACATTTAAAATCAAATATTTCAAGTCTTTACTATATATTTCAGGTAAAATTCCCAATAAAAATATCTCTGGTTTCAAGTCTATATGTTTTTTTGTCATTTTTTCCAACCACATGTGGATTTTAGTCTTCTTCCCCCAAGCAATCATAGTTTTTTTAGCTTGTTCTTCTAATTTAATTTCTAATAAATATCCATACAATTTTTTAATCACCTTTTCACCAGTACCTGTCAAAATCTTATCTAAATCAGTCAATTTATCATAGAAACCTTCCATTTTAGAATCTTTATCATACCTTGAATGTATTTACGCATATGAAAACCAATTCATCTTTATAACTTGCTCCTCTAGTTTTTGTATAGATTTGAGTTCTCTCTTTTCATTCAATATTTCACCATATCTAACTGTTCCTTTTTATAGATTGTAGGATAAGAAAATGCTTCCATAGTCGATAGCCAGACTGGAATTTTCAAATAACATTGTCTTTTAATCTTCTCCCAGTTTAACCACAGAGACTCCCATATATAATGTCTTCTAAAATACCCCTGTGTTTTAGTTCCTTTATATCATAAAAAGCATGCCATCCCAACAACAAATCATGTCCTTCTAATGTCAACAATCTAGTATTTCTTAGTGTTATCCATTCCTTAACCCACACCAGATTTGTAGCTTGATAATACAACTCCCAATTAGGCAAACCAAATCCTCCTCTAATTCTAGCATCTTGCAAAAGTTTTAACTTTATTCTCACTTTCTTACCTTGCCATATATATTTCAACACAATTTTATTTAAATCTTCAAAGTAATCTTTTCCAAGCCTAATTGGAATTGTTTGAAACAAATATAAAATTCTGGGTAATATCTTGATTGTTCAAATTCTCCCTATTAGTGACAGTTGTAAATTTTCCCATTTCGCCAGATCTAGCGCTATCTGCTGTTTAAGTTTGATATAATTATTCTCTTTTAGTGTACTACATCTTGCTGTCAAATATATCCCCAAGTACTTGATCTTATTCGTGACCTGAATTTTCAATAGGTCTGCCAGTTCTTCCTTTTGTCTTAATAGCATATTCTTTGTCAAGATCTTTGTCTTATCTTTATTTATTTTCAAACCAGCCACCTTTCCATATGTCTCTATCTTTCCTATTAATTTTAAGTGCTGTTTCTAGAGGGTCTTCTAAGATAAAAACCAGATCATCTGCAAATGCTTGCAGCTTAAATTCTTCCTTTTTGATTTTCATTCCTTTTATATTCTTTTCATCTCTAATATTTCTGTCCAGCACTTCCAAAGTTAACACAAACAACAAAGGTGATAGTGGGCACCCTTGTCTTGTTCCTTTTCTTATATTGATAGTCTGTAAGTTCTCCCTCTATCATTATCTTTGCCGTTTGCTTATAGTATATAGCTTCTATTGCTTGAATAAATTTTCTAGCAAAGCCCATCTGTTCCAGCAGTAATAACATGAATCGCCAATTCACATTATCAAATGCCTTCTGTGCATCTAGAAATATCAGAGCCATTTGTTTTTCAGGATGTGCCTCATAGTATTCCAAGGTGTCCAAGATTACTCTCATATTATCTTTAATTTGTCTCTTTGGCAGAAATCCATTTTGATCAGGATGAATAAAATTATTTAGATATTTTTTAAGTCTTTCTGCCAATATTGAAACAAAGATTTTATAATCTGCATTTAGTAGAGAAATAGATCTATAGTTCTTAATTTGTAATGGATCGCCTCCTCTTTTGGAATAAGTGTAATATAGGCTTCTGACCATGATTTAGGTATCTTCTTCTTTAACATAACTTCATTCATAACTTCTAGCAGTGGAAGATTCAACGATTCTTGTAATGTTTTGTAAAATTCTGCCGGAAGTCTATCTGGGCCTGGTGCCTTTCCATTATTTTGCTTCTTGAGTGCTTCAGTTAACTCCATCATCGTTATATTGCTTTCTAACATTGTTTCAATCTCTTTAGATATCTGAGGTAAATTAGCATTCTGTAAGTACTGTTTAACTCTTTCCTCATCAATATTCTCTTGCATATATAGTTTCCCATAGAAGTCTTGGATGATTTCCTTCTTCTCTTTACTATCATAACAAACTTGGCCTTGGTCATCTGTTAATTGCAATATTTTCCTTGATTCTTTCTTTCCATTTTTAGCTTGATGTCCTTTTTCTGTGGCATTTTCTGTGGCTCTTTTTCAAGTCTTTTATACTCATCCTCTAAGGCCTTAGAGGCTAATCTTTTCATAGTATTTCTTTTCCTTGTATAGTCTACTATCAAGCCTCTAACATATGCCTTCACTGTATCCCATACATTCTGAATTGATGTATCTTCTTTTTTGTTTTCTCTGAAGAAAAAAGCCAATTCTTTCTCCATCCACTGTGTGAAGTCTTTTTCCTTTAAAATAGTATTATTTAACGTCCATCTAGACCTTCTTTTTTGTCCTTTCCATTTAATTGTCATTGGATTGTGATCTGCCCAAGTACTTCTTTCAATATTTATTTCTTGAATATTAGTTATTAATTCTGTTGACATCCATATCATATCTATTCTGGACCATGATAAGTGTTTATTTGAATAGAAAGTGCATTGTTTAGTTTTAGCATTTCTTTCTCTCCATGTATCTTTTAAGTTTATTTCATCTACCATTTTAAAAAAAGATTTAGGGAGAGTCTTTCTGTTTTGCTTTATTGTTTTCTGTGCTGTATAGTTCAATTTATTGTCTACAGTTCCATTAAAATCTCCCATCATAACTATATAAGCATAGTCCAGTTCAATTATTTTCATATGTAATTTTTTGTAGAATTCTTCTTGTTTGTCATTCGGGGCATAGATTGCAATCAGGAGTGTTTTCATATTATTGTCCATTATTTCCACCATTAGTATTCTTCCGTCATCATCGGTATAAATCAATTTTGCTGGGATGGTCTCTTTAATATATAAAACCATTCCTCTTTTCTTACATTGTGTCAAGGAAGTAAATATTTTCCCTAGTTTTGGCTGTATCAACAATTGTTCATATTGTTTTTTAATATGTACTTCTTGTAGACAAATTATATCAAATTTTAATTTCTCTAATTTATGAAAGGTTTTCCTTCTTTTAACGGCTGAGTTAAGTCCATTTATATTAATTGTAATCAGTTTTTTTTCTCTTCCATAGTTATATTTTGTAGTTAGGTTTAGCAGCTCTCGTAGATCTTGGTTCACGTTGTTCTTTGGCTTCCACCTTTCCACCTACTGCACCTTCTTCTTTTTCAATCGCCATTTGGCAGTCCTCTTGGAATTCAATTAGTGAGATTTCTTTTTCTGCCTCTTCCTCTTTCCCTCCAAAAAATTCTGTATAAAATAATTCCGCTTTCTCAATTGAGTCAATTCTATGTCTCTGTTCTTGCCATGTGAACATTAAACCTTCTGGAATCAGCCATCTATAATTCACCTCTTTTTTAAGTAGCATTTTAGTCAGGAATCAGTATTCTCTTCTCATCTCTCTCACTCTTCTGGGTATTTGTTTCAAGACCACAATCTCCTTGTCTTTATATTTCAATGTTTTCTCTTTTGCCACTTGCAATATTTGCATTTTAATGGCTTTCTTTGTAAATCTACTGTGAACTTCTCTTGGTAAGCTATTTCTCATCGCATATCTTGTGAAAACTCGATAAACCTCATCTATTCCATCCATCATCTTCTCTTGAGTTATTTCCAAAGCTTCAACCAGTATTTCTATCATTATCTCAGCTAAGTTTTGTCCTTTTTCTTCCTCTACTTTTTGGAATCTAAGATAGAATTCTGATATATACATCTCCCATCTCAACATACCACTTTTATCTTGTTCAACCACTGTTAATCTATTATCAATATCTCCAATCTTCTTGTCTCTTTGTTTATCTTCTTCAATTTTTTGGAATCTCTCATCATACTTCAACATCATTTGTTGAATGTTCTCCACTTTTTCATCGGTTTTCCCTGTTCTTTGTTCAATGTTCTCCATTCTTTGTTCAGTGTTCTCTGTTCTTTGTTCAATGTTCTCTATTCTCTTTTTAATATTCTCTGATCTTGCTTGAATATTTTGAATTCCTTGCATAATCATCTGCAGAGTCACTTTTTCTTGTTCTTTTTCTTGCTTTAACATTGTATTGAATGTTGTCCTCCAGATGGTGGAGAGGAGGAAGTAGAAGTTGAAGAACCAGGAGCTGTTAGTTTCCTACTCATTTTAAGCAATTCAAAATCTTCAGGTTCTTCTATACCTTAATCCAATTGTGAAATAACCAATTGTAGTTCGAAATAAAAATAGTAGAAAAAAAAAGCCAAATAGTAATGATAAAAAAAAGGTGGGAGAGGACAAAATATCTTCAGGTTCTTGTATACCTTAATCCAATCGGTGGTTAAATGAAGAAAAATTCTTGAAAAAAAAAAGAAAAGGAAAAATTCTTCAGGTTCTTCAACACCTTAATCCAATTGAGAGGTCTCAAATAGAAAAGAGTGCATAAAAATAAACCAGAAAGGTAGATGAAAAAACAAAAATACCAAGAAAGGAGAAAAAAAGGCTATTCCCTTAAAAAAAAGGAAACATTAATACTAAAGCTTTCCCTTTAAAATAAAAAGCAAGCATAGAGATTAGACTTCCAAAGAAAAAAAAAGAAAAGACAAGCTCCAACAAAGCCAAAGATCCAAATAGCTATTGCAAAAAAAAAAAAAGATAAAATGAAATAAAATAAAGCTGGTGAGGAGGGATAGCACAACTTAGAAAAAGTAAAAAGAGCACACTGCACTTTGTTTAATTATCCAAGGCTCTTATTATAATTCTCTTCTCCAAAACCTTATCACCTTTTCCCCCACTAGGTTTCAACACCAGACTTCAGCTGTTGATAGAAACCCAGAAGAGCACCTGCAATAATACTCTCCCATGCTCTTCCCCCCTGTCTTATCAAACAGGCAGTGTCCTTGAAAAAAAGTCTCAATTTTTTCTCAGCTTTGTCTGGTCAAAGGAAAAGTAGAATATTTCCAAGCCTCTAGTTGGCAGTGTTACAAAGTTCCTTTAGCTTTCACTTTCCCCCTACTTTTCTGGCAGAGTATAATAAGAATTAGTTTAAAAAGGAAGAAAATATTTAAAAAAAAAAGACTAAAAGGGAGTCTCTGGCTTAATATGTTATAAAATCAAAAAGGGGAAAGAAAAGAGTAGATTAAAAAAAAAGGAAAAAACCAGTCCAGTTTCGAAATATAGGATCATCAGCAATAAGAAAAAAAAATAAAAATATTACTTTGACATCCCTGTTTAAAATCGCCGCTTATTCACTTCTGTCAAAAAACTTTTACAGATTCTTTCTTTCCCTTAGGGTGTCCTCTCAAATCTTTAAATAAAGAAAAGTTCTCACCAAACCGGCACACTTTTTCTTTTGTTCTCTTTCGTTTTGGAGCTGTGCCAACTTCAGCAGCTTTAATGGCTGCCTCTTTGCCGCTGGCAAGAAGAGCTTCTCCTGGATCTACCAGGGACTTTGTGATATCCCTGGGATTGACAGGATGCGCTCTTTACATTCACCATCTCTTCGGGACGGTTTAGATCCAAATGGACCGTCCAGGAGCAAAGATATCGGCAGCGGTCTCGGACCTCCAAGATTGCATGCCGTATCGTCACGACGCCAGCTCCGCCCCCTCCAACGTAATATTCTTCTTTGTTTACCTCTATCTGTTTCAGAATTTAAGTTTCCATGAAGTCAGAAAATCTCTCATTCCTATTTGTTAACAGAGAAAGCCATCTGGATAGATGCAAATGAACAAAATCAAATTTAAAAAAATAAAATAAGCGGTGTTGCTGAAGCCCCAATTAAATCCGCATGGAGTATTCCGCCCCTCTTTCTTAATAGCACAGCTGTTTCTGGGTGATTGCATTTTTGAAGTACTGCCTCATATTTACCGTAGTTCAAGCTAAGAATGTTTTTTGAAAAATAGAATTTGTTGCATGTGTGAAACATGCTCTGTGTATTCAGCATTTGTGCATCAATTTTTAAAATGTATTTTAAACAATAATAATCAAATATTTCCAGGACCTAAGTTAAGAGAGTAATTTGATTGAACCACAGCAGACAAAGGAGGCAAACATCTCTCATCTGTCCTTTTTCAAAATGATAAAAACTCTTAAATACAAAAGCTGCAGAGGAAGTAAAGGATTACTTCCTTCTCTATAAAGACACCCTCCTTTTGTCTTTCAACCAGCCCTCTTTTGAAAATGATGCTCGCAGAAGCTTCAGGAAATCAAAGAGAGTTGCATTCAATTTTCCAGAAAATTTGTTAACAAATGTGTACATGGTAGGAAACTGCATAAAATTTTCTTATCTTAAGCAAAGTTGTAGATGAAAACAGAAGGAGGTTTTAGAGGAAAATCTGATAGCAAAACCTGAGTGGGCCAGAGTGCTTGCCCAACTAATCCAGAGAGTGAAAAAGAGCCGTCAAGTGAACTGATCTTCATATCTCTACATACTTTTTGCCAGCATCTCTTGAGCTTCAGATCCTGTCCTGCAACCCATTCTTTATTGAAACCTACCATGTTTCTCATATAATAAGGCCGGGTCTTTTTTTTTTTTGAGCCTCGAAAAAATGGCTAGGCCGTCTTTTCAGGGGTGACTTAATTAACCCCCCCTGCATCTTTGGGCAGGCACGTGGCGACGGCTTGGATGTTGACTTCGGCGTTGGTGAGGCACTTAGTATCAGGATCAACACAGGCAGCACCATATCTGGGTGTGCAACAAAAGTACTTCCTAATGGCAAGCCCCCCCCACCATTCCCCCCATTTTGCATGTTTTAATATAGGCCTTAATTTGGGGGGAGGGGCTTAATTTCATTTCATGCCTATAAAACATGCTGGGACTTCCTATTGGGGGAGGCCGTATTGTTGGAGAAACAGGGTAGTTCTTTGGAAACTGCCAAGCCCATCTGATGGACAGAGAATGCTTGTGAGGTTTAAATTTTTTGAAATTCGTCTCTGCCGTTATTTTTTTAGCAAAAAAACAAGCCCACCGGTCTTTCTGTTCACAAGAGCTGTTGCGTTCATTTCAAAGGAAGATTGCAGCGATCAGTAGCTTGTGTGCATTGGAGAAGGTGCAAAATCTAAATCAACTCTACATTTTCATTTTAGGTTATTGTTCCCCAAAGTCTTTAGACTAAATACTGTAGCTGCCTCTCTTCCCCATTCACCACAGTTAAAAGAGTGCTCAAATTCATCGATTATGCTAAACCATAATCTAAATTGAATAAAACAGAATAGTTGCCATTAACAAACTTAACTAAGCTGTAAACCACATTTACAAAACATGACATATAGTTCACATACAGTACACTGGATTCATACAGTGGTGCAGTGGCCTAGAGTTGGAGCTCTCGCCTCACAATCAGGAGGCTGTGAGTTCGATCCTAGGTAGAGGCAGATATTTCTCTCTCTGGGCACATTGAGATCATATCTACTGAATATAGCTCCGCATTGGTGACAGGAAGGGCATCTGGCCAGTAAACACTCAGCTCCATTCACTTACCTAGACTCCACCCCACAAGGGATTATAGGGTCATTAAAAGACAATGGTGTTTGTATTCATACAGCATGCAAAACCAAAGCTAGGCAAACCACATGCTTCATGCACTGTATTAAATCAGCCAACCTCTGCCTAAGTGGCAGATGGAAAAGTCAAAAAGAAATTCCTATTCCTCATCTGAGACTCCAACCATTTTACCGGGTTAATCGTAATGTTATATCCCAGAGCTGTTGTTTAAAACCAGTGAAAAGAATTACCTCTGTTTGTAAAAGAGGTCATACTTAAAGAAACTGAAAAGCCAAGGCTTCCTAACCCCACTGAACTGAAGTAACATCGCCAACCTTGGAAAGTGTCTTTTGCACAGTAGCCTCGCTTTCATTGTCCAGCGCTGATGTAGCCATGTCGAGCAACAGGATTTTAGGGTTTCGAACTAAAGCCCGAGCAATGGCAATTCGCTGCTTCTGGCCTCCGCTCATTTGGCCGCCACCTTCTCCAACAAGGGTGTCAAATTTCTGAAATAGTGGAAAGAGCAAAAGGTTACTGTTAAGTTCGGTCCAACCATTACAAAGCGCTTTCATCTCAGTTCCCTTAAGTCAGAGGTGAGGAACGATGGCCCCTTTAGGACTTGTGGACTTCAACTCCCAGAATTCCTGAGCCAGCCCTGCCTTAGGTCAATCATAAATATTATGTTGAGTGGGGTAAGATGGAGAAGCAGCCCAGGAACAACTGGGACCTTGGTCTTCTGGCCAAAGATATGGTGAAAAAGAAACCTATTGCTTCCGTGAGAAGGCCTATGGGCTCATGAAGCAAGGATGTCCAGTAAGTTTTGCCCAAGAAGAGAAACATAGCAAGGCTAGCCTGCCAAGAGGGGGCTGCCAATCCTGTAACAACTCTTGCAGCATGGGAAAATAGAGGTCCTAAGGACTCTCCACACTGCTGAGATGGTCCTGCTCTTCAAATCTTTGACCTGGCAGAAAACTGTGACCTAGCATGAGATTTACTAATCCCTACCCTGCCTTTTAGGGATGCAGTGGCTCAGTGGCTAAGTTGCTGAGCTGGTCAATCAGAAAGATCATCAGTTCGGCGGTTCGAATCCCTAGCACCGCATAACGGAATGATCTCCCAGCTTCTGCCAACCTTGCAGTTCGAAAGCATGTAAAAATGCGAGTAGATGTTGGTTGCCAAATTCCCAAATTCTGATCACGTGACCCTGAACACACTGTGATGGTCATAAGTGTAAGGAACGGCCACAAATCATTTCTTTTCAGTGCTGTTGTTACTCTGAATAGTCACTACACAAATGGTTCTAAATTGAGGACTACCTGTATGGCAATCCACCCACCCCCCACTAATTTTCTCTTTTTAATTGCCTAGCAACAACTTTTAAGTTTCCCAGCAACAGCTAAGAAAGTAACAAAAGTCTTGCAGAGTGGTGAGTTTTTGTCTTAAATTAATACAGGGGCCAACAATCCTTTCAGCCTGGCATGGTATTATATGGCTTCCACCCTCAAAACCCTTAGTAAAAATCTAGCAATAGAGGATGCTAAAAGCTTATCCCCTCTCACCTGAACTTACATGAGATTGTATGTGAGATTTCTTAAGAGTTAAGAAGGTCTTGAGATGCTGGTCATTTCTTAGAAGGGATCATTTAACCAAAGTAATATCGAGCTTCATGGTTACTTTGACACTACAGAACATGTCTATGGAGATTCTCAGTTCTCCAGGTCATGGTTGTCCCAGAGGTGCTTTTTCAAAAGGCAACTGGATTTGCTGGTTTCCTTTTGAGGACGTTTTGCTTCTCATTCAAGAAGCTTCTTCTTTCTGAGTGGATGGTGAAGCTCCATCCTGAAGCTCTGAATCTGGTCAGAACTGAAGAAGCTTCTTGGATGAGAAGCGAAATGTCTTCAAAGAGAAACCAGAAAGTCCAGTTGCCCCTTGAAAAAAAAAAGCACCTTTGGCATAGAGGACAACATGTTGCCAACCCCTCATTTAGTGATCTCAAACTACGCAGATGTGGTATAAGAGACAGTCTTGGAAGAGGACTGAGAAGGGATATGATGAAGTTCCTTTTACCAGAGGCAGATCCATGATAAAGTGGTAGGCATTGGCTTCTTTGGCTGCTCTGATGATGTCTTCCATAGTGGCATCTTCCCGACCGTAGCAAATGTTTTCTGCTATAGTGGTGGCAAACAGGACGGGTTCTTGTTCCACCACCCCCATCAAAGAGCGCAGCCACTGAATGTTAAGGGAGCGAATGTCATGTCCATCGAGAGTAACCTGCACAACAACAGTTTGTAGATAAAGACTATGGTCACCTGTACCTTCAGGTCAACATCTTCCTCTCTTAATGGAAGCTGCTTCTTAAAATAGCAACACTGTACTGCACTGCTTCCAGTTTTGTGTCTAATTCCTACATACAATGCCTGAAAGCACAGCGATTGAGGCTTAGCTTAGATTATTAATTTTCCACAATTTTCCTTTCATCTCAAACCACATATGGTCTTCGTTTCAAACATCATTTGCTCTATAGCACCTGCACATCCTTTGCAGGAAGGAGGAAGGAAGGAAGAGTAATATTGTCAAGATTCTGGCAGTTACCCCACATAAATCATGAGTCTTGAGCCAAACTTCCAAAAGTTCAACAGGATTTATTGGGAGTTAAAATGTCCGGCACTGTCTGGGTGTAGCCGACTCTGAGACATATAATTCATTGTCAGCCTGGTTGACCCTGGTTTTCCCCCACCCCCTGGGTGTTATCGTAACTCATATTCTCCAGTGGGACACATCCATAGCCAAGAGTCATCAATCATGCTCTCCAGCTAGAATTTTGCACGGGAGAAACTTCAGTTACCTAGTTACTATCTTTGAAAACTATTTATGGAATGCACTTTTAGTTTGCAAGCTGCCGCACTGCTCCCCCACTCTTTCTGTTGGCAACTCTAAAAAGACCATAGAAATATTTTATGAGTTGACAAATATATTATAAGGTCTTTCTGGATACATAGCTTTAGCTTCCCAATTCTTTTGAATTCTGATCATTGTATTGATATACCTCTGCAGATGTCCCCCGGAAGAACCCCAGAAGTTGTCTTTAATACAAAAAATATCTATTTAATTTCTTACTAATATATGTGAGAGATGGTCAGCAATGAATGAAATGAGCAACGATACAATAGCTGGTACCTTAATTTAGGGCGGCTGTGCAAACCAATTCTGAATTTTTCAGAGATTAATGTTCTTTTCTTGGATATTTTAATTCAGATGCAGCCTGTGAGATAACATTACTTAATAATTTCATTTACCTAAAGTGGATTGGATATTAAAAGACTATGAAAAGAATTTTAAAATATTTTTACACAGGTGGATTGTGCCACATCCTGGACCAGCTCATAATGGATTTTTCTTCATTTTTATCCTAAAGAAATATGTACCCAGCTAACTTCCTCAACAAAATCAGAGTTAAGCAAATTAATGAGATTCATGAAGCTTACCACAAAATATGAAATTTACCTGATCTGAGCCCTGACAGAACTACCTGTCAAGATACATTTCCCATTGTATCAAATATCCTATTCACAGATTGTATTCTATACATGTATTAAAGTTTTCCATTTCCAGTTCTGAAACCCAGGCATCTCTCATATAAATATGAATGTGGCCTCATTCCTCCTTGTCAGGTTTCAAGTCCCTGAGGTGATTTGCCCATCTACGAGATTTGGTACAGTGTCTATGCTCCAGTCTTTTAAATGTTGTCCTCTGATGGGACCTCAAATGCATATCTTCTCAGTAGCTGTCCCTGTTATTTGGAATAGCCTCCTCTTTGAGATTTGAGGATTCCCTACCTTTTTAGCACTCAGAAGGCCATGAAGAGATGACTTTTCCTCCAAGCATTGGACTAGGATGGAGGTTGAGCTGGGAGACTGTTTGGTCTGACAACTGGTGGAAAAAAAGGTTCTGTTTCTATCTCTGTATGTATTGATTATTATGAGCTGTCTAGCATCATTATATGAGACAGATGAGGCCATCTGAGTTTGGTAAACCAATAAATGCTATTTTGCTCTTTGAGTCCAAAGACCAGTTGATAAGAGGAGGCTAAGAGTGTGGCTTCATAGTAAATTGCAAAGATAAATATGCTACAAGAATGGATCAGGCTTCAGGATTTTCCCAATGAAAGAAAGATGACAGAGTTAGGTCAAAGCCTCACCATGCCTTCGGTAGGGTCATAGAAGCGCTGGATCAGCTGAATTGTGGTACTTTTCCCTGCGCCGCTTGGACCAACAAAGGCTGTGGTTTCACCTGGCTTGATAACCATGCTGAGTTCATCTAAAATCTAGATTAAAGAAAGAAAGAAAGAAAGAAAGAAAGAAAGAAAGAAAGAAAGAAAGAAAGAAAGAAAGAAAATAAATGGCACTGTATTTGAAAAGGCCTAGCTAGGTTCCCAGAATAAATCTGGAAATTATGGCAATGCTGCAGAATAGAACCTTTTGAGTTCTTACCTTAACATCGGGCCTGGATGGATAATGGAAGGTTACATTATGGAATTCAATTTCACCCCGGACTTTGTCCAGTTTGTAGCCATCTTCTGACATACAGTCAATTCTAGGTTTCTGGGGTAGAATTAATCAGATCACTCAATTTGTTTTGTTTTTTTTCTCAAGAAGCTTTCTTTCAGTAGCTAGTTTCACATCTCTGTCTGAAGGATTTATCTTTACTCCCTTTCTGGCTCTCAGGCCTTGAACAGACAGACTTTCAGAAGGCTCTTCTGATTATTCTATCTCTCATTGATTTCCACTCCCAACTTGTTTAACATTACTTAACATTTCCACGAATGTTTTGATAGACCACCTAGTCCGGGGGTGGGATTCTACCAGTTCAGCACCAGTTCTATAGAACCGGTTGTTACGATTCTGCGCAGTTCGGAGAACTGACAAATCGTGCTCCTGGCTGGTCCTGCCCCTCACCGCCCACTCCATCCCTCCCCACCCAGTCAGTCCTTACCGCACATGCACAACATTGCATGCATGCCCAACATCTGTGTTCTCCCCGCCCAGTCACTGAAGGTATTTCTTTTTTCTCCCCCTCCTGATGATCAGCTGTTCCGATGATCAGCTGTTCCGGGATTCCCTTTGCTGTCTTACTGCTTCACCCAGGAGGCTTCCCCAAGACCCAGGAAGCAAAAAGGGGCGTGTGGGGGGTGGGGATGGGGTGCTGCGTGCCCTCCCTATGCTCCGCTTTTTGCCTTCCTGGGCCCCAGGGAAAATTTCTGGGAGCAAAAACACCCCCAAGGAGGCTTGTCTGAGGTTCAGGTGGCAAAAAAATGGGGGGGGGCGCAGTTTTCTGCAAAAAAAGAAAAAAGAAGAAGCCATGTCCACCCAGTAACATGGCCACGCCCACCTAGCCACGCCCACCTAGCCACGCCCACAGAACCGGTTGTTAAAAAATTTGAATCCCACCCCTGACCTAGTTCCTAGTTAAGGAATGTGTCAAACTCTTGAAACCCTAAATGTAGCATCCACGCCCCTTACCCTCACCCTGGCTGGCTGAGGAATTATGGGATTTGAAGTCCACGCGGACTTCAAGCGGTCAAGGTTGGGAAACACTGATTTACACCATCCATTTATGGCACCAGAACATTTAGATCAAACAAGTGATTGGCTTGCTAGTTTATATCCCACCTTTACTTCGGGAACAAAAGGTGGCACACATAGGACTCGCTCCTCCTATTTTCACCCACAATGACTCTATGAGATAGGTTGAGCTGAGAGTAGGTGACTGGCCCAAAGTCAACAGGGAGTTTGCATGGCTTAAGGTAGATTAAAATTTGGATTTGGTGCTCCAATGCAGAAAAGACTTCCTTAAATCAACAACTCAGTATGTGTTTTATATTGTTTGTTTTCTTTTGATGCCTTCAAGTCAGTTTCTGATTCCTTGTAACTGCCTAGTCTAATCTGCAAGATTTTTCTGGAAATTAATTGGCTTTTTTCCTAGAGCTGAGCAAGAATGAGTGGCCCAAAAGTCACCCAGCTGGCTTTGTGCTTTCGGCCATGACTTGAACTCATGGTCTCCTGACTTCTAGCCTAATGCCTTAACCACACATCCACACTGGCTTTGTTCAGTGTATATATAGAGTTGTCCATTTATATGCATTTCACTTATTTTTGGGAAAGCAAGGAATAAAACTAATAGAAAGAATATAATTGGCTTCTATAGCTTAGAATTATTGAGTGGGTGTTTTTTTTCTTTGCAAAATTCTGAAGCCTTGGCAGTGCTATACATATTCATTTCATTCTTGGAGCTTCTGGCCCCCTTTTCTTTCTTACAATTGCACGCCTAAGGCACCAGAATGACTTAGTTCCTGAAACCACTTAATTTGCAATTTGTCTCACTGCCTTTCTTGACGATCAGGTTCCTTATAAAGCATAGCCCTCTTTGACAGACAGAGTGGGGCTCAGTGAGAAGATGAATATTCATAAGAAAATCACTTAGGAATGTCACTTGCATGAATGCACTCTTTGTAAATATCAAGGCAGGATTACTGGTTTGCTTTAACTTGCAATCAATTTCTTTTAATCACGATAATATTTCTCATTTGCATTCTTGGCAGAAGCAAAGTTTACATTCCTTGAAACTCTCATTTATTCCCCCCACCCCCCACAAGCAATCAGTGGGTTACTTACTTCATCTATTGTCTCAAATATATTTGTGGCAGCCCCTCGACCTGTTGCAAAGGCTTCCAAGCAAGGGGCGGCTTGACCAAGATTCAAGGCACCTACTAGGACGCCGAGAAAAACCTGAGAAGGATAAAGAGGGGAAAAATTAGTTTCTGCCAATATTAAATTACAATCAGTAGCTATAGATGCCCCAAGACAGTATTTCTGGAAGGCAGATAAAATATTTTGTTCTTTTGAGAAATAACAGCTTCCTCTTTACCAGAAGGCAAGACTAGGAATAGTATTAAAGGGATAGAATGATTCTTTTACCTCCCAACCTAAGGAAGCTATTTCAGTTTTCAAGTCTGGGACTGATCCCTTAAATCAAAGCAAATTTTAGAGGTCTAGAAAATACTTGGCATGTATTAAGAGAGTATTAATTGTAGTACTCTATGTCTTAATCTAGAACTGGGGTGTCAAACTCAAGGCCCGCAAGCCGGATCCCGCAAGCGGGGTGCTTAGATCTGGCCCGTGGGGCCACCCTGGAAACAGTGAAGGACTGGCCCACGGTGCCTCTGCCAGTGAAAATGGAGGTTGGGGACTGGGCGTGCCCCCCCCAACTCTGTTTTTGCTGGTAGAGGGTTGCAGGCTGTCGCAGCCAAAAATGGAGCTCATGAGTGCACAGCTCCATTTTTACTGGCGGAGGTTTTCAGGAGGCTGTTGCGGTCCAGTGACTCCAAGCTGGCCATGCCCACTCTGCCCCCCCGAGGTCAAACACAACCTTGATGCGGCTCTCAACGAAATCGAGTTTGACACCCCTGATCTAGAAAAAAAGGAAACATTCCCTGATGGAATAATTAATCCCTGGACTAACTTGCCTCCAGAAGTTGTGGGTGCACTTGAGGTTTTTAAGAAGAGATTGGACAACCACCTGTTTGAAATGGTATAGGGCAAGGGTGTCAAACCTGTCGTAACATGACATATTGTGACTTTTCCTCCCTTCAATAAAATAGCTTGGCCAGTGCGTGATGCATCCGGCCCGCGGGCCATGAGTTTGACGCCCCTGGTATAGGGTCTCCTGCTTGAACAGGGGATTGGACTAGAAGACCTCTAAGGTCCCATCCAACTCTGCTATTCTGTTATTATAATAAGCTAATCACTGGGTCTTGTGATAGTACCACGACACAACACGAACCAGCTTGAACTGCAAGGCTTACAGAAATTCAAGCTCATCTTCAGAAAAGAAAGAAATAGCTCCTCAACTCCAAAAATCAGCTGTGTTTACAGTCGACAGGCTTAAGCAAGCATGCAAGGCTACTGGACAGCAGAGATAGGAAGAACATACGTGAAAAGGATATGGAATTGAACAGGGCTGGGCAAAGTGTTTGCTTGAAGTCAACTGGTTCTGCATGAGAGCATCTGGGAATCATTTCTGCGGCAGCTGCATGGACTTTACAAAAGGCACAGCTGCTTTTAAAGCTGGAAAAGAGTTGGCTCATTTGTGTCCCCAAAGGAAGCAGCGCCTTTCAGTGATTTGCATAGCATTCAAATGGAAGCTCCTGGAAAGAGTCCGCCAACAGTAGCAGGTTGAGCTGTAACGTTTTGCTGCAGGAACTCATCCCTACTGGAACCACCTTCTAAAGAGTGAAACTGACTTGGTCTTTTCAGGGCTTAGATCCAACCCCACACCGGGTATCAGCAGAAAAGTTCTGCAATATTTATGCTCTGCAAATTTCACTTCATTTTGGCTTGTCACCAATCCTTTTTGGAAACACTGGACGCTGTGGCAGGAGGAAAGAAATGGGGAAACCCTCGTGGATGGGTTTTCTTCTTGTAATTTCTGGGTTCCAAACAAATGGCTACCTCAGTGATATCTACAAAGGTCAACCATTTTTTTAAAAAAAATATTCTGTTTATAAAATAATGACTCCAGAGTCTACTACCCCAGAAGTAAGGCAGAAAATGAAGGGCTGCTGGGTGTTGCTGACTCTCCTCATATCTGAATGACTGTGTTCAAAGTCAAGGAAAAGCTTTAGAAAACACTTGCCTGCAAAAGGGTGCCAGCAGAATATTCCTCTTCTTCAAGGACAAGTTTTGAGCCATACCAGAAGGCCAGCGCATAGCACAGGAAAATGATGCACCAAATGTAGCCTGTGAAAAATCCCATTATGATTCCCTTTCTGATCCCCCAGTTTTGAGCAAACACCAGATTTTTGTCATATCTGTAAAAAGAAAAAAAGAAAAAAAGGACATTAAAAAAACAGATTGACTCAAATGAAGGATCAATTTGCAGCTTTCATTGTTGAAAAATAAGTACTGGGATACTTTATAGGAAAATTGCTTGTCACGTGGTATCACAGCCCATTCTCTGCATTTCCAAGAAAGGCTGGAAAAGACCCTTGCCTAAACTCTGATGATTTGCTGGCCAATCAGTGATTAGGTTTGCATATGAGACTAAGTCATAATGTGATTTCTTTAATTTTGGTTTAGCATGAGCTCAGCCATTGTGGTTATTAACCTTTGGTTTACCATCTTACTTGTTGCACAAATTAATCAAGAAACTTTGGTCAAATATCCATTGCCTAGCACAAGGGTGGGGAACTATGGCCCTTTTATGACTTATGGACTTCAATTCCCACCTCAGGAATTCCTGGAGTTGAAATCCACAAGTCACGAAAGGGCCATAGTTGCCCACCTCTGACCTAGTACTATCAGCTATTCAAAGTAGGCCAGATAGGAATCAGACACCCTAAGGCCTAATTTCTACTAGGCCTACCACTCTACTTTGCTATTATATTATATAACAATGAAGTAAGTAGCCTGAGAGATATTATCGCTCCTTCGCACTTATAACAAAGAAAGTCAAGACAAAAGAGACTTGAATTTCTTCCACACCCGCTCCTGTCTTTCTGGGTTAAGTAGATGTTTCCCTAATGTTGCATTATTCAAGGCTAACTCTGTGTTCTTTTAAAAGCATAATGGGTGAAGCCATCCACTTTGTAAAATAGTGACTAAAGGGAACCACAGGACTCACGTAGATTAAAGCTGCTGTCTAGGTTCCCAACATACATGTCCAATTCTTGTTTTGAATGAATACTAAAAATGCCACAGCAAGCCATTTTGATCCCTGAGGCAAAAGTACAGGATGGTTTTTTGAGGATTCCAGGTGAGCTAAAAAGATTTTGATACTGGCAACAAAAGAGTAATCACCATCACATCTGATGTCTAATTAAAGAGAAGGCTGTGTGACAGGCAGCGCACATGTTCGCCTACCTAATACTTGGCCAACTCTACAATATTGCTGGTATAATGAAAGCAACTAAATCTTGAGGAAACCTTCCCATTTCATATATCTGGCACAACAAGCTAAAATAAAAACAGAGTGTCTTCCTTGACACAGCTTAAGTCTATTACTGCTAGAAAGAGCCTATTTTCAATTGTCACAATAAATATTCATCTTTAGCACTTAAGCAATCATGGTCTGTTTCAATTCAGCTGGCTTCTTTGGTGCTCAGGAACAAACTTGATATATAACCAACCTTTCAACTTCTTTTTTCTCTCCTCCAAATGCGGCCACGGTTCGGATCGATGAGAGCACTTCATCAGCGATGGCCCCAGCTTTTGCATAAGCCTTTAATTCTAGACCTGTCAACTTTGCCACAGACTTTAACACAACAGAAACAAAGACAAGAAGAAAGAATGTGGCACAAAGTCACTTTTTAAAGTTTGGTGTTGTATAGGCCAAAATCTAACTCAGCGTTTTTCAGATTTGGCCAGTTTAAGATGGGTGAACTTTCACTCCCATTCTGAGAGGTTTTAAATGACTTTAAAAAAAACATTGGTCTAATTAAACTACTTAATTAATGAAACTGGACTCATCAGCACACTATTTTGTGTCTTTGGAGAATCTACTTGTTAGGAAGGCTTTCTCCAGCCTTCTGGCTTTGCAGAAGACTTCTGTGTAGGTACAACTAAGGTAAGTTAAAGGCTTGCCTTTACAGGGACAAAATTCAAGGTGATGACCATGTTGATTAAACAAGGAACACTGACTCAGCATTGAGGTATGAAGCAGCAAAGAATCGTGAGGTGCTTGAAAGGTGACTCCATGTTCTGTAGCATAAGCTGTCATACATCAGAATTCTCTCCCTCGGTTGCATGAAACAAAACAAAGTGTTGGCGTCTTTATGCATATGGAAGCCATTGGTCCTTCAGGCACTGATTAGAAACCAGGAGACTGTGAATTCTAGTCCTGCCCTAGGCCTGAATGATTTGGGGTCAGTTCTTCCTTGTTTTCTTCCTTCTCCGGAATAAAGCAATGGCACAAATCAATGGTTCCTTTTGAGGTGTCCCATCTATTAGTCCTTATAAGGTACAACAGAAATTACTACTGGGAAATTGTGCCAAAGAAATGGCTGCTAACTTTTTTTTAAAAAAGAAAAAAGCAGGAGCAAATGGTATAGTAGAGGGTTACCAAGGCACTTCCTGTCCTTCACTTGAAAATATTTATTTATTTATTTATTATTTTATTTGGTTTGTCAATTGCTTACCAGATAATAGGTATAAGTAAAAACATAGTTATGAATACATGGTTACATATAAGAAAAATAAAAGAAACAATAGGACAGGGACGGTAGGCACGATTGGTGCGCTTATGCACGCCCCCTACAGACCACTTAGGAAAGGGGTGAGATCAATAGTAGACAGTCTAAGGTTAAAGTTTTTGGGGTTTGGGGAAGAAACCAGAGTCATGTAGAGTATTCCAGACATTTACCACTCTGTTACTGAAGTCGTATTTCCTGCAATCAAGTTTGGTGCAATTAACCTTGAGTTTGTATCTATTGTTTGCTCTTGTGTTGTTATGGTTGAAACTGAAGTATTCATTGACAGGTAGGGCATTGCAATGTATGATTTTATATACCATATTTAGATCGGACCGAAGGCGGCGTAGTTTATTTCCCCAACTTCCCTCAATTGAGAGAATCTTCGCCCCGCCCTGCCCCCCCCAAAATATCCCCAAGCCCCTTTAAGTAACCTCAGGGAGCCTTATTTCAATAGGCAGGACATTCTTCCGTACCAGGCCAATTATGCCAGCTCCGATCCCAATGAGAGGACTGACTGCAATAATAACCAAGGTCAACTTCCAGCCTCTGACAAATCCTAGCAGGAATCCACAAACAAAGGTGGTGAAGCGCTGGATAAAGATTGCGACTTGATCAGCAATAGCATCATTTATTTTATTAATGTCACTGTGGAGAACAAGAAAAGTTGAAGCAGCAGATACATTTCTCCTTCATTACAAATTCCCAGTGTGCACGAAAAGATTATCACACTTTTGAAATGTGGATGAGAATGATTTATGGTGGTAATTATTCATTTGATCACTCCTTTATTTGGGGAGTTTATTTCCTGTATGTAAGATTAACCTTAAACTTGGTGCAGGTAGAGGGTCTTATATTTTCAAGTATTTTGCCTGCTGGAATATTCCCAGTGGGATTCCAAATGCTATGAAATGGAGGCTTCTATTTTTCATCCCATGCCCTTATAGCTGACAATTGGTCGAACCCTTTGCAGAGATTCTTCTTAACAAGGCCAAGATGGGGAAAATAAAATTTGCACGGATACTCATGAAGCACTAGCAGCTTGTGAGAAATGGCTGGTGAGATAGAGGTCTGTGGAGATTTTCAGTCCTCCAGGTCACAGTTGTCTCAAAGGTGCTTTTTCAAAAGGCAACTGAATTGTTTTGTTTTTCTTGTGGAAGATGACGTCCTCATCCAAGAAGCTTCCTCCGTTTGGCAGCTTGGTGGGGGCTATGGAAGGATTAGTTCTGACAGGATTTGGGGGGGGGGGGCGGGGTTGGAAGGATCATATTTCTTCTAGCCAGATGGACACGCCTCAAATATTTTT